GGTACCTACCTTGCTTTGTATCTTGTCTGATATTAGCACTACTGCACCAGCTTGATGTTTATTTTTTTTTTATATCACTTTACATCTTTTTTTATATCACTTTATTTCCCCTTCCTTTCTTTTTCATGAAAATAAAGTGGAAAAATGTAGGAAAATGAAAATCATAATATAACGGCATTTTCTCACCACCCAGAATATTGCTAGCTGCTCATACTGTGTGCTGTTTTGTTTTGTTTTGTTTTTTAATCCTCACCTGAGGACATTTTTGCATTTATCTTCAGATGGAGCAGGAAGGAGAGGGGGAAAGAGAGAGAGAGAAACATCAATGTGAGAAACACACATCGACTTGTTGTCACCCACACGACCCCAATTGGGGCCGGGGACAAACTGCAACCGAGGTACGTGCCCTTAGCAGGAACGGAACCCTGGACTCTCTGGTCTGCAGGCCGACGCTCTAACCGCTGAGCCTCACCGGCAAGGTCCCATGTGCTGTTTCTTTTGGTCTCAATCTCTCAGTCGCTCTCCCTCCCTCTCATTCCCCAGCTCACACCCCTACCTCTCCTTTGTTTATTTTTCCTTATTATTTATTCTTCTGTTTAGGCTTCACCTAGGAGACGGAGCGCTTGAATGTGCCTAAATACCTCTTTGGTAGAGCAAGCCTGCTTTTCCATTTTTGCCAAGCACAATGACACTTCCAATATTTAAACCAGAAATAAAACAGAGAACAGAGCTAAAACGACCTCTCCCTATCTCGGTCACATGGCCTTTACCTTCCCCACTGACTCACGCTTGGCCAAAATGTTCCTTTCAATTCACTTTTATGCTTTCACCTATCTAACTGTGTGTCTGTTACAAGCACTATTGTTTTGCATGTTGTTTTTTAAATGGGTGTGAGTGGCATCGCTGGGTACTCAAAGTTCTGCACTTTGCCTTTCTCAAAAATGTAAGTGTACTTGTGTTCTATATATGTGCTGGGCTCCATACCATTTCACTTCCTTATACTATTCCATCTTACAAATATCCTGTTTTCCTGTACCCTGCTGCTACTTGACGGTTCCATTTTTCCCTTCGGCACATTTGTGTGTGTCTGGCTTCTTTCACTCAAACTCACACCTGTGCGATCCATCCATGTTGTTACAAGTGGGTGTGGCTCAGGCATTTGTCAGTGCTGTATATGCGCCATTATAAGGACACACAATTGACCAATTTTGTGGTAGATGGATAGTAAGACTCTTCACTTTTGCCTGTTATGAGTAACTGTCCTGTTGGGTTGTGTACACGCAGCATCTCTATTAGTATATGATGAGAAATGGAATTGCTGGGTCCTAGGGTGTGCCTATGGTTAGCTTCAGTAGAGTGTCAGGCATCTTGACAATGTGGTTTTGTACCAGTTTACATAACCAGCACGCCAGTTGTTCTATAGTCATGCCAACAGTTGGTGGTAGTGTTAGGCTTTTCAGTTTTCCCATTCTAATAGGTCTGTAATAATATTGTTATGGTTTTCATTTGCACTTTCTCTTTCGAATGAGTGAACATCTTGTCATGTGCTTCCAGCCATTTGAATATCGTGTGAGGTGTTTTCTCATGAAATATGCCCATTTTTTTCTAATGGGTTATCTTTATTGACTCGGAGGGATTGAATCATGTTTGTTGAGGTCCTTTGTCAGATATATGATGGCCAGTATCTTCTTCTACCCTTTGGCTTGCTTGCCTTTCCACGCTTCTAATTGTATCTTTTGGTGAAAGATTATGGACTTGAGTGGCAGCAAAGTTAGCAGTCTTTCTTGGCTGGTTTGTTTAAGCCAGTTTTCCCTGCTCTAAGGTTGTTAATACCATCTATGAATGCTATTATTTTGTATTTTACATTTTGCTCTAATTTACTGGACTTGGTTTTCTGTATGGTGTAAGGTGGACATCAGGTTTCTTGTTCATCAGTGATGCTGAAATAAATTTCCTAAGTAGATACAAAACCGGTCAATATCCCTGGGGCACCGGCCAATGGAATCTCCTGCACTAGATACAATTTGCATTTCCATGGACAAGAAGCATCTGAATTGCTCAATGAAAGGTTTAGAAACAAATCATGTGGACTGCTGATGGCCTATATACTATTATTCTCTGAATTCGCCTTTGAATCAGTTGTACCATTTTATTGGTCCCCTTGTTAACTAACAAGTTCAATACATCTTTTGACATGTGTTCTTTTTATATCTTTGTTATGTTTTTTTCCATTTAAAAAATGATCTGTTAGCAGTTCTAATTTCTTCTTTGCTTTTTATCATTTGCTCTTCATTTTCTAATGCAGGGGTTTATCATAGGCTGTCTTTTAATTTCTGGACCAGGGTGGCTAATCCAACCATCTGTGGCTGAAGGTTGGGGGTGGGACAGTCATAGTAACACAACATGGCCTCCTGGGCCCTGGGGATTGTTGGCAAGGAAACACAGTGATTGACAGTTCTAGCATGCCCTATTATTTAGCTGAGAAATATAAGCCCTTACAATCCCATTGCTCTTCTAGCACCAAACATTCTTCCAATGTTTAATTCGATGATGAATTCAACCGTGGTCATGTATTTATTTTGTAACTTGGGTTTCTACATAGAATGAGTTTTTGCTGAAAGTAAGATAGACCTGTACCCTACAGAAATGCTTAATAGGATAGAAAAACACTTAAAAAACAAACAAACAAAAAACTAAGAAAAAGCTGTATTGGTCTTAGTGACAATTGACAGTGATTCCCAAGTCTTCTGTTCCCAATCCTTCAACAGGTCCTCTTACCTCAGGGCTCCTAGCACAGCACCTTTGCTCCTCCTTTTGGTATTTAATAAGAAAACCAAAAGATCCAAGTGTTCTTTTTCAAGCAGCTGTGAGTATCAGCTTTGAATAAAGTTCCTTCAGGCAACAGGGAACCCACTTAGCTTATCCTGTCCGTTGATGGGGAGGAAGCACGGTCAGGTCCCGGGCCTGCTGCTGAGGAGTTCAGAGCTCAAAGACTAGGATGAATGGGGAGATGATGAAAGGGATGAGGACCACCTGGCAATCACAAGTAGCCCCAAGCTCAAAGAATCGTGGTGACAGCTTCAGGACAGTGCTCTGTTGACCCTGCAAACCTATTCCACAGAATCAAAAACTGAGCAAGATGTCATCAGTGATAGGTCTACAACAAACTCCGCTGGAGAGAACTGCAGGCCTTACAGGTTCGCTGTGGTCAGAAGATGACCTTACACCAGTTGTTGGAACTGACAGGATAGAAAAACACATTTAAAAAAAGAAGAAAAGAAAAAGAATTATGCCCTGGCTGGTTTGGCTCAGCGGTTAGAGTGTTGGCCTGCAGACCGAAAAGTCCAGGGTTCGATTCCCAGTCAAGGGCACATATCTGGGTTGCATGTTTGATCCCTGACCCCGTGCGGGAGGCCACCAATTTTTGTGTCTCTCTCACACTGATGTTTCTCTTTCTCTCTCTCTCTCTCCCCCTCCCTCCCTTCCACTCTATCTAAATATTAATAGGAAAATATCCTCAGGTGAGGATTAACAATATATATAACTGTACCTACCTCATGCCTGAAGTATTTTTTTTTACATTATGTGTAAGTGGGAATCAACCAGACATTAGGAATTTTGTTCTGTTTTTTGTTTTTTTATATATATATATATGTTTTTATTGATTTTAGAGAAAGAAAGGGAGAGGGAGAGAAAGAAACATCAATGAGAGAGAGACGTTAATTGGCCGCCTCCAGCACGCCCCACACTGGAGATCAAGCCCACAACCTGAGCATGTGCGCTGACCAGGAATCGAACCTGCGACCTCTCGGTGTACTGGACAGCACTCAACCAACTGACCCCACTGGCCAGAGCCTAAAGAATTTCTTTCTTGTTTTATGTGGGAGCAAAAAGTGAATAGCATTAAAAACAAAAAACAAAAAAAACAGTTCTGGACAGATTGTTGAATTCATTCAGACCAAATTTTTATTTTTTAAAAATGTGATTCAGCCATTTGATCTTCACATTAACAACAGCCAACGTCTGTGTGACTCACATATATAATTCTCTATGTACACACAAGCACACACTATTTATATAAAAAAATAAATTAAGCTTTAATAAAGAAAAGCAAGTTTACAAATGCATCTTGGTAAAGCCTAGCGAGAAATAAAAAAATGGGGAAATTTCTGAAAGACAGGATCACTATGGGATCTGGCTTTTCAAGATGAAAATATTCTGAAAATTGGAAACCTGAGATAAATCACTGAGTATTTTTCAAATGCCAATTTTGTAATTCTGCATATTTCTTAATCTGATTTTTCATTTCTATTGGCTAGAATATGATGTTTAGGGTTGCCTCCAAAAAGTTAAATGTCACACAAGTCATAAGTTAAGTGACATTCCTTTTAAGAGTTTGAAGTGTTAAGGCCCCTTTCAACCACCCTTGCTTCCAAATACAACTCATCATTTAGTGACCCTGGGCAAGCAACTTAAAATGTTATGCTCAGACACCTCTTAAGTGAATTTTTTATTTTTGTCTAAAAATTTTTATCATAAATAGTAGCAAAGGGTACAAGTGCTGAGATACTGTAGATATTGCATCTGTAAAGAAAACTGCTAAATTCCTTTTTAAATTATGCCAAAAGGCTCTAAATCTAATACGTGTTTGATAGGCACTGTGATCCTTTCAAAAATTACATGAAAAAAGCAATGTTTAATAGTAAGAAATGCCACATTTTTCCCTTTACACCTTGAATTTGCGTTTTTAATCTACTGCCCCCTCAAAATTTTAGGTTAATTATATTTGGCCTTTTTGTTGCTTAATTGTAGATCTGTAATAAAATTGTGTAATATCCTACAACCATATGGCTTTATGAAATTAAATTTGTCTCCTGGATTGAACTTAATAAATAAAGTCCAAATTTTAATAAATTATTAGACACAGTAAAATTTCACTGGCCATGTATCAATGAGATGAGGAAGGCTTCTCCCTGCCCCCCCCCCCCCATTATTTCATTTATTTGTAGATTAATATGATCTGTGTTAGAATGGCCATGGTACAGCATCAATTCTATTCTTTTACATTTTCCATATGAAGGTGTTGATAGTCCTTGTTCACACAGGTGATTAGATGGGAACATAAGGAGCTTTGTGATAACGTGATAACTGAATTCTTCCAACTCCTTTGGAATTACACGCTGAAATACCCGGCAATCCTGGGTGTCCCTTCCATTTTGTTGAAAACAGAATTTGGAACCACCAGACTTGCGAAGGGATTTTTGCCCTGCTGTTAAGAAGCCCTCGCTGTCTAAACACCCATGTTTTGAATCTTACACCTTGTGTCATGCTCTACAGTAAGACTAAAGATGGGAAAGGATGTTTGCTTTTGTGAGGGAGAAAAGGGCATATGCTCAGGCAGGTAATTCTTAAGAATAATAGAAAGGTGAGGATCTGAGAATTTATCCCCTAAAACTGTTCGAGCCTGAGTATTCCTTGCCAAGTTCTGGGAGACTTTCCAAGTCTGGCAGTAAGCCTGGTCCAGTTTAAAGACCATTGGCCTTGGTGGCTTCAGTTTAGATTTTATTGAACTAGGTCACAGGGCATATGTAGTTGACCCTTGAACAACACAGGTTTTGACCACACAGGTCCACTTATATGTGGATTTTTTTCAATAAATTCTGTAAATGTACTTTCTCTTCCTTATGCTTTTAATATTTTCTTTTCTCTGGCTTACTGTATAGTGAGAATACAGCATATAATGCGTATATCATACAAAATATGTGTTAATTGACTATGTCATTGGTAAGGCTTGGTCAATAGTAAGCTATTAGTTAAATTTGGGGGGAGTAAAAAGTTATATGAAGATTTTTTACTACACAATGGGGAGGGGGGTCAGTGCCCCAACCCCATTGTTGTTCAAGGTTCAACTGTAAATTATTATGTTATGCTGCCTGGCTGCCTTCTTAATAAAGCAGCAAATCTTCAAATGTATTCCACTGTACATTAGTCCCATGAGATATTCCTTGGCAAAAGGGTCTTGAGATCAAATTTGGGAAATATGATATTCTACACCCCTCTTAACCGTGTGCATTAGAATAACCAAGTTTCACAGGAAAAATATTTAACTTTGTATAACCTAAATTTTCCAAACTCAAATGATCCAACCAGCCTCCCCCTTTTATTTATGTGATAACCAATCGGTTATTCATGTGATAACCGATACCTAAATTATATCCTTAGGGAAAGGATGAACAAAAACAATTTCACATAGAATCATGGCTTTGGTCCGTCAATGCTGCTGCCATATTTCAGGATGTTCCCATCACTGTTCTGCTTGATCTGAATGAACTGTGCTGAACACATGACTATTAAGCCATAATCTCCGCTAGATATTTTATAGGACTTGGGTTTTGTGGCATCCAGGCAGACTCTAGAAAGAGCAATGGTGTCATCTGTACCCTTCACTTTTCCCTTCTGTGTCTTCCTCAGAGAATCCTGCCACTACCAAGAATCAGATTCATGTGTTACCCTATTAAGAGAATGTAGCCACCAAAGCAAATACTCTCTAATGGTGGATTCAAGTGATTATAGCACGGAGGAGGAGACGGTTTTAGGGAGAGGGTTCTTCCCAGCACCATTTAGAGTATAACCTCCCCTCCCCTGCCTGTTCTTTCTCTGGCTGGGTATGGATTCTACACAGTGGCTGCCGAAAGATGCTGAACTCCTGCCTTCTATGCCACCACTCCTCAATGTCTTTGATACGGTAGCAAAACATCCACTTAAGCCAGTGGTTCTCAACCCTCGTAATGCCGCGACCCTTTAATACAGTTCCTCAGGCTGTATGTGGGCGGATCCGCCTGGAGACGGAGAGAGGACCCGTGTCTCAGTTCCTAAGACCGTCGGAAATATGTGTTTTCCGATGATCTTAGGTGACCCCTGTGAAAGGGTCGTTCAACGCCCAAAGGGGTCGCGACCCACAGGTTGAGAACCGCTGATTTAAGCAGAAGGGAGATCCAGGCCTTCCTTAGCTTTTCGGCTTTACAATGGAGTGAAGTGGGGCGGTTCGTGTCTTTCCTCACTCCTGAGCTGAACACAGAGGGAAGGACAGAACACCTGAGCTCCACTGCTTACAGGTAATGAGAGAGCGGGCGAGGTTACGGGGGTGGCAGTGGGGGTGCAGCCATCGGGTTGCGGGGGTAACGGGGCACTGGCTGTGGAATCTGTCACTTCCTGCCGTCCAGCCTTTCCCGAAACTGCTGTGAACACATCTGTACCAGCAGGAATAGCCTTCCCTCCGTTACAGGCTGCCAAAGGGAAGAGCGACTCCCGATTCCAGGAAAACCTACAATGATGGCACAGAATAAGATCCCCGCCTTGGTCAGACTGCCAGTACCGAGTCTCCCGGCTTTCTGCAACGTACACTGCCTTTCTTTTAGAAGCACATGTAACCGTAAGACCAGTGACCGTGGCTTTTTAAATTTCTTTTGAAAAGACCTTTTGTTTAACACTTGGCATAGTGCCTGGGGTATGGTGGTGCTCCAGAAATTGCTGTGGGCTGAAGGGCCAAGGTCTGTTGATCAGAAAGCCGGTTGGTTGAATGTACTCGTCAGTAATACATGTGTGCTAAGCCCAGAACTAGGGGAGGGCTCAGTGGGTTTCCAGGACCCGGTTCCGTCCAACGAAAGCCATCAGTCTTACTGCCTGCCAGCCAGTCCCTCCCCACCACAACCTTTCCCCCAGTTACACCTTCGTTCCTCGTAAGTCAGTTCTCATTTCACTCCGAGTAGGTTGTGACTCTACTGACCACTCCCCTGGCCACTCCCCCGGCCACTACCTCATCTTTAAAAAGCCTTGTTAAATCACCAGGTACAAATCATTACGTTGTATCTCAAGGTGCAGAGGGGTGTTATCTTGTTCCGGGTATCTGAGATGTTCTGTAGCTTTCTACTGCTTCAGCCACAGGCTCAGCTTGCTGCGGCAGCAAACAGTAATCCAGAGAAATGCCACCATGGAGCGTGACTCGTGTCCCTGTGTTTTAATCGGTACACTGACCCCTTGTCCGTGGGAGCCGCAGACCCAGAGCCTCCCCTGCGGGCCTTCGGTGGGTCTCTGGTTTCTAACAGGCTTTTTAAATCAAAGAGGCTCCACGATTTCCACCTCCCACCCCCAGTAACTCCAGCCACAGAGCAAGTCTCTCCCTTAACTAGAAACTGTCTTAATGCACAGAGGTTCTACAGACTCAGGTACGACAGCAGGTCTGTCTAGCCAGCTAGCCAGCCAGTGGTAGTTCAAGTGCGTTGACTGAGCCTGGGGCAGGGAAGCTGGACAGATGTGGCAGCCAGGGGCAGGGCTCCTCTTTGGGCCTCGGTGAAATCCGATGGCCTTAACTGTGGAATCATTTGCCTTTCAGTTAGTCTTTGCAGAAGCTAATTTACTAGTTCCTTATACTGGGGGCTCATCTCCCATGGAAGTCAGTGACCTGGGTCATTAGAGGCCGGAACAGGAACCCTGTTCGGTGCAGTCTGTGCACGGAAGGTCTAACTGCTGGAGACTTTCACTGCTTTTATTCAATGAGGTTTGGCACACAAGGGGCCAAAAACGAGGAGTGTGATTTTGGGGTCCTCTATACAGAATTATAAGTTAAGAAACTGTCCAAGATGAAAAAATTAGGAGGAAATCACCCCAACTCATGCTGATCGGGTCTTCTTCGGGAACGCCATCTTGACTGTAGACTTGAAGAGAAGATGACGTCACACATTAGCATGCTCCCAGGGTCTGAATACAGCACATTCTTCTACATGCAAACACGCGCGCGCACACACAACACCCTCACACATGCACCCCGGCTTCTAGGAGTAAAACTTGCTGTTGCTGACTCTCTTCTCTCTCAACCTGAAATAAAACAGATTTCACCGTCATCCACTGGGCTCTGTAACATTTCTCTGTGCACACATCTGCAGGTGACTCTTGGCTGGGAATCAGAGAGGTGGCCTCCTGGCAAGACATTTAACCTCTCTGAGTCTCCATTTCCTCACTGGTCATTGCACTGAGGTCACTGCTGCTTGCTAGGCTAAGAAAGTACAGATAACATGAGAAGAATATGGGTAAGGAAGCTACATGCTGTGTCCCACTGAAGGTTGCTAAGGGCATTTTGGAGAGAGAGTGCTTTTTTAAAAAATTGATTTGAGAGAAACATCGATCTGTTGCTTTACTTATTTATGCATCCATTGATTGAGTCTTGTTTGTGCCCTGACCAAGGATCAAACCTGGAACCCGGGCATAGTGGGATGATGCTCTAACCAACTGAGCTACCTGGCCAGGGCAGGTAGTGCTTTGCCGAGCAGGTCTATCTGGCACATTGCAGGCACTAGGCACACTTGGCTGCCTCACCCCATTTCGTGTCTGCCCTGATTTACAACCACTGGACTGGCCCATTCTTGGGAACTCAACAGGGTCTCTTTTAAAAGTAGTGGTCACTGTTTATTTTCACTTATATTACAGTGTCCTTCTAGTGATGATAGTTCCACTTAGGGAAGGTGCAGGCACTTAAGGTACTACTATACTTTCGTTTATCGAGCTCAGAGAGCTCGAGTCAAAGGAATCAGTCAAAGGATTTCTAAAGACAATGGTGCCTCCCCAAAGCCTGGCCCCAGGGGCCCAATGGCACTGTGCTCAGAGGAGCGAGGCCTGAAGGTCTGCAGGTGGGGAAGGGGCTGAGCTACCTCCGGTTGCACTTCTCCTGGTACAGCTGGAGCTGGTTCTCGTTGACATTGAACTCTTTAACGAGGGCGTCCCGGTTGGCATTGCGCAAGTTCTGGTGCGTGTCATATAGAAAGAGCTGGTTGTTCAGCTCTTCTTGCCGCCTCCGCAGCTGGCGACAGGAGGAGTACAGTTCCTCTTCGCTCTCCTGGAGGTAAAGAAGCACCATGGGGTGACAGTGTCTCCCAAATCACAGGGCATCTTACGAGTGTGGCCGAAGGAAGCACAGGGCACGAGCTTGGCAACTGGAATTATCCCAGAAAATCCAGGGCCCATTTTAACCAAATATAAAACTGGTGACTGTTTCTTGCACTGGAAGCAAGCAGTTTAAAAAACCCTTGATCACAATTAAGGATGGCCTTATTGTGAAACACTGGAATAACAGGCATTGCCCATTGACCCCATTTCTTCATCAAATCTGGTTTTTCACTGGTCAATACCACCTTTGGACCGTTATCCCTGAGCAGAAAGTGGAACCCAGCAGGTGAGGGAGAGAACAGCCTAATGTGAGGGCAGAAAGGTAAGCATGAGCCAGCACGTCATTTAAGATCTCATCAAGGGCCTATGACAAGTCGAGGTAACACACTACAACATGGAGGAACCTTGAAAACATGATGTTAAGGGAAAGAAGCCAGGTCCAAAGGACCACATGCCATGACTCCACTTATATGAAATGTCCAGAACAGGCAAATTCATAGAGACAGTAGATTCGTGGTTGCCTGGGGTAGGGGGTGAGGGGGTGAAGTGTGTGGAGGCAACTGAGGAGCAGGAAGTTCTTTTGGGGGTGATGGAAATGTTCTAAAAGCGATCATGGTGATAACTCTGTGAGTATAAACCACTGAACTGCACACTTTAAATGAGTGAAGTGTATGTTATATGAATTATCTCAATAGGGCTGTACCCACCCCCTACAAAGAAAGCCAGGTAACACAGGTTATGCCCCCAGAGATGGGCATGTGACTCAATTCTAGCCAGTAATGATGTCTTGCTCTCCTCCTCCTCCTTCCTCCTCCAGGCACGTGACCCAATTCAGGCCTGTCAGAAGTATCCATGGGACTTTGGTTGGTGCTCTTGGTAAAAAGATAGTTTTTTTGGGGTCAACTGAGAGAGTGATGGTGTTTCCAGTTGCCAGTCGCGGCCCCTTTGCTATCATATACAGAAAATTAGGAGTGAAGCCAACATAGGGAGGCAGAGCCATTGGGGATCACCTGGATCCAGCCATGACTGAAGCAAGCCCTACCCATAAACTTTGCAGTTGTCTGAGCCAAAATATTCCCTCCACTATGCTAAGAAAACACTTATCAAGGTAAGGAGTTTGGGTTTCAGCAAAGGAGGAAGAAGAGGGTGATGTTTTTTAAAAGATTGCTGACTATTACTATGTCAAGAATGGCCACTACCCCTGATGGAGCAGTTCAAATGAGAGACTCCAGTGTGACAAAAACAAGCATCAGTATACACAAATGAGCTGCTTTGGTCATTTATTTTTACAAAAATGGACTCAGAGCACACCTTGCTCTGCTGATCCCCCCCCTTAATGACGTCATGGACGCCCCCAGGACGACAGGTAGAACTCTGACTTGGAGAACAGGGATGGAGTTTATTCCAGCCACTCCCAAAGGTGCAGAGGAGTAAAACGATGATTTTCTTTGCACGAGGAGCGGAGGTAAGATGGACAGTCCTTGGTGACTAATTCGTTGTCACCAAGGGAAGAGTCAGTAATGACTCTGATGTACTGTATGCCCTTTCTCAAGGAGACTGGCTGTCCTTTAAGAATAAAGCAAAGCGCCTCGACCCATCCACCAAAATGGTCGCGGGTCTGATTCCCGGTCAGGGCCCACACCTAGGCTGTGGGTCCAATCCCCACTTGGAGAGCTTATGGGAGGTAACTGATTGATTTCTCTCTCTCTCTCTCTGATCAGTAAAAACATATCCTCGGGTGAGGATTTAAAATAAACAGATAAATAAATAAAGCAAAGCAAAACAAACGCCCCATTCAAGTATTAAGTCTGCACTACAAATGGTCTTTTTCACCTTCTCTCCGCCTAGAAGACAACCACTCTGTTGCTTTCATAGTATGTGATGACTATTGGTTCTTCAGGTTAAGTTCAAAGTCTACCTTTTTCTCCAAATGCTGCTATAATTAAAGCCTTTTATCTCCTTTTCTGAATCCCAAAGCTTTTATATTCTATGTTATATAATTTAGTCCTTAGTGTTCCGCACACATAAAATCATATATAAAAACACATATATAACATTCAGAAAAGTAAACCTATACAGCAGGGCCTTGAATAACGTTGTTCCACTCAATGTCCTTTTGTCATAACGTTGATGAGAAAAAAATCAATTCCAGTGGGGAATGGGGGCCACTGTCTGTGTGGAGTTTACATGTTCTTCCAGGTACTCTGGTTTTTTCCCCACATCCCAAAGATGTGCATGTCGGATGAACTGACGCGTCCACACTGTCCCTGTCTGAGCGAGTGCAGCCTGGGTGTGAGTGTGCCCTGTGATGGGAGGGCATCCTGTCCAGTTGCTGGGACAGGCTCACGCCACTCATGACCCTGAAGGAATAAGCAGGTTGGAAAAGAACTGTCTGTCTTGTTTTTATTAATTTTTCTTCTTTTTTTTTTTTTTTTATCCTCACCCGAGGACATTTTTCCATTCTTTATTCAGACAGAGCGGGAGAGAGAGAGAAACATCGACGTGAAAGGGACACATCAAGTGGTTGCCACCCGCACGACCCAACCAGGGCCGGGGACAAACTGCAACCGAAATACATGCCCTTAGCGGGAGCCGAACTCAGGACTCTCTGGTCCGCAGGCCGACGCTCTAACCGCTGAGCCAAACCGGCCAGGGCTTATTTTTCTTAAACGTATGTCTAGATCACATTTATTTCCGTGTTCAACGTTAGGAGTATTTTGGGTCATTATTTAGAACTTGTGATGTTTCTATGTTGTAGGAATTTAACTCTTACTTATTTCAATTAGCCTAAGGTAAAACTGGTTTCATCATAAGTTGTTTCGTTTAACGCTGCAGTTTCCAAGAACCTAATAATGACGTTAAGTGAGGACTTACTATATACAGTTTAATAACGCAAACAGCTATGGAGACACCACCAAGTCAAGAAACAGAGCACAGTCCATTCTAAGCACTTCCCATCCCCAATCAAGACTTCCCCCTGGGTTTTGAGACAATTATTACCTGGGTTTTGAGTATGCGTTTTCACACAAAAATTTAGTTATTTGTTTCCCAATATACTTTACTAATTTCTTTGCTCACCATGCTTCTTGCATTCCATTATTCCATTCCCTCTTGCTTAAGAGTATTTTGGTAGGTTTCTTTTTTGTTTTTTTTTTCTTATGTTAGAGAGAGAGAGGAAGGGAGAAACAGAAACATGGATGAGAGAGAACATTGACTGTCTGCCTCCTGCATGCCCCCCACTGGGGATCAGGCCTACAACCCGGGCATGTGCCCTGACCGGGAATCAAACCAGAGACCTCTTGGTGCATGGGTCGATGCTCAACCACAGAGCCACACTGGTTGGGCGATAGGTTTCTTTTTTAAACAAAGGTGTATTAGTACTAAGTTATGTGCCACTGTATGTCTGAAAAGTACCTTCCTTTTGCCCTCACTCTTGAATGGTAGTTATTTGGCTATAGAATGTCTAGACTTACGGTGTGTGTCTTAAACAATCTTGAAGTTATCCCTTAGTCCTCAGGCTGTCATCACTGTGGGAGTTTGCTGTCACTGGTCAGTCCTCTGTAGGTAATCAGTCTTCTCTCATCTCTTTTATAAGCTTCGTTCTCCTGGTTCTGCCAATTCAATTCAGTATGACATGTCTATGTCCGGATCTGTATTAGCTGTAATGCTGTGTTTATAGTTGGAGGGCCTGTATCTCTTCAATGCTAGGAAATCCTCAATCATCAACATCTCCAATAGTTGATGTCGAAGATTCTCACGCTACTGTCCTTTCTTCACTCTTGTTCTTCATATTTATATCTTGCTTTATTCAAAGCAAATTCTCCAACACAATCTTCACATTTACTAATTCTTTCCTTAACTGTACCCTTCCTGGAATTTCTCAAGACTAAGCTTTAAAGCATTTTTTTTTTCATAATTTTTCAGATTGTATTTCCAGAATTTCTAATTGGTCCTTTCATTCCCTAGATCAGCGGTTCTCAACCTGTGGGTCGCGACCCTTTTGGGGGTCGCACAAGACCATCAGAAAACACATATTTCCGATGGTCTTAGGAACCGAGACACCGCTCCTCTATCCGTCTCCAGGCGGGTCCGCCCACATACAACATGAGGACCTGTATTAAAGGGTCGCAGCATTAGGAAAGTTGAGAACCACCACCCTAGATGTTCTTTATTAATAGTAAGAAGGGTTGTTCTTTTAAAATACCACTCATTGTGTTCTTTCTGAAAAAGAACTGACTTTATTTCAAAGTCATTTTCAGAGTCACTGGAGTGAATTCTCTTGCTTTACGTTTGTGAGCTATTTGGGCATTGTTTTCCTTGAGTGCCTTAAAATTTTAATGTGTAAGCCCTGGCCAGTTTGGCTCAGCAGTTAGAGCATTGAGTCTCGGACCAAAGGGTCATGGGTTCGGTTCCTGGTCAAGGGCACGTACCTGGGTTGCAAGTTCGATCCCCAGCCCTGGTCAGGGTTGTGCAGGAGGAAATCAATTGATGTGTCTCTCTCAACATCAATGTTTCTCTCTCTCTCCCTATCCTTCTCTTCCACTCTATCAAAAAAAAAAAAAAAATCAATGAAAAATATCTTCGGGTGAGGATTAAAAAATAAATAAAATTTTAATGTGCAGTTCATCTTGGATCGGAAGGTTGTTTCTCCCTTGAATCTACATGTTATCTGGTTTTAGAAATTTTCTAAAGGGGGGGGGGTGCTCCCAACAGTAGGGTCTGCTAAGTGGTAGGGTGACGGCCTGAGGCTCTGGGTTCTCAGGAACCCCACAGATCACAGCTTGTGTCCCGGCTGCAGGGCTGACTATGGCCCGGGTCTGGGCACTTGCCAACTCTCTCCCTCCAGAGGGTGTTTCAGAAGAGTGGAGCCCACTTTGCCCCGAATCTTCTATTTGTGCACAGCCTGCAGTGCCCACTCGTTCAACATGAAAATAAAATAAATGAAGTACG